CATTTGTTCTCATTAATTAACAGACATGTGGCAACACAATTTATGGGTTCTTTGAGTGCACTGTCATTCATACACACACAAATATATAAATATACATGCTCCCATATATTTACACGCATGCACACTCATACCCACATATACATGCATACAGTAATACATTTCTTTATCCATGTACTCGTTCATCTTTACCTTTCGCACAGCTATATTCCCACTGGCCTGTCCATTCGTGATCCCTTACCATCCGCGTACATACACCGTGTCTTATGTATCCATCCTATACATAAATGCACTCATACTACATGCACTCATCCTTGTGTATGTATCCATGTTCACATCTATGCACTCATCATACTTACACTACCTCTCTGACGCTAGGGTGTCCAGAGTTACCATCTGATCCGTTCCTTCTGCTGTACTGAGTAAATCCTTAATCTGGTCTTTTTAGTTTTGTTTTGTTTTAATAAGGAACTGTTTAACCAGTTTTTGGATGTCTTTATTGCTATCTACCTTTAAACATTTGTTTGCAGTAATCTGTTGTTTGCGTTTTAGAAAAAACTCCTCAATGGGTTTCCTCTCCAATTTATATTTAGTGCCGTTTATTATATAATGCTCTATTGTATTATCTTGAAAGCAGACCAGACATAGTGGAGATGTACATTTCTCTGGATGCCACCCTAACCTAGCTCTCCATATTAGTTTGTTAGCTGGGATTTTCAGTTTGTCCCGTACCTGTGTGTTAAGGCTGGGTTCTTTAAGGTTGTTGTAGGCATCTCTGCCCTTAGTGCTTCCTTGCCATTGAAGTTTCCACATTTTAATTATATGTCGTTTGATTATGCTAGTCCTTTCAGTTTTTCCGAGTCCCACATCCACTAAAACATCACATTTAGCTCCCTTTTTGGCTGCTATGTCAGCTTTTGCATTGCCTATTACACCTCTGTGTGCTGGTACCCATGCAATGGTGACTTGGCATCCTTTATTCTTGAGCTGGGTTGTTAGATTTAAGATTGTTTCTTTAATATCTGGCCTACTGCTAGTTTTATGTGTTTTTAACGTCTGCACTGAGGACAATGAATCTGTCAGTATGGTAAATTTAGTTGGAGGTTTATTAATTACCATCTCTAGTGCCTTCATTATGCCGACTAGTTCTGCTGTGCATACTGCCACATGATCTGTTAGTTTATATTCTCTTTGCATATTCCACTGTGGGATTATTACTCCTGCTCCTACTTCTCCTGCTTCATTCTTAGATCCGTCAGTGGATGCAACCAGATTGTCTGATCGGATCTGGTCTATGTATTCTTCTGTTATTGTTTTGGCTTCAAATGTTTCAGTATTCTTTTTAATAATTTTCATCAGACTCATGTCTGTCCTGGGCAGCTCTAGTCTCCATGGAGGGATTTGAGGGACAAACCTAACGCCTGCCTCTAGAATCCTAGCTAAGTCCTCATCATCGTTAATTTCTAGTGCAGCGTCCCAGGCTGCTGGTATATCTCTGACCGGTCTGTCACCTAGGTGGGTAATGTTATGATAAAAAGCGTCTGAAGCTGGGTGTCTGGCATCGTTGGCCGCTTTCATCCAATAGCTATAAGTTAGTTGCTTCCTTCTGAGGTTAAGCGGTGTGATACCTAGTGCTACCTCCATGGCCTCTCTCGATGTCCCTTTGCTAGCGCCCATGATGGAAGTCAGAGCTTGGCACTGAATCCTATTAAGTTTGCATTTGCTGGTCTCTGATGCTGATTCATATACTACGCTTCCGTATTCCATTTTGCCCCTAACGAAAGCTTTATAAAATTGTATTAGGGTGTCCTGGTGTGCTCCCCATCCGTTTCCTTTAATCATTCTCAGCATATTATTGTACTTTTTGCACTTTACTACGAGATCATCGATGTGTTTAGCCCAGGTCATTTGCTCATCCAGAATCATTCCTAGTCTTTTCTGATGGTTCGGATTGATTTTTGCTGAAACATTGCACGCATATTGTGTAGACGTCACGAGTTTTGCATTCATCCATGTTTAATTTATCAAAAGGTTACATTCTGTTTGAAAGCTCACGCATGTATAAACATATCGTTTTGGATCTGTGAGGTTTGTCGACAGTTATTGTATGATTTAGCAACCAACGAAATCTGTCAGTCCATTGTCTGCTCACGTACACATATGTCAACGTACGAATCTGTTAATGTACGCATCTGTTAACCTCGCCATCTGTAAAGTACCTCTCTGTTACTTTGCTCATCCATACGTGCCCTTTCTCTACTTCTAAAATGTCCTAGATAATATGTTCAAATGTCTGTTAGATGGAGAGAGAAACAGATTCAGGCGGCCAAGATTTGAGCAACAAGCATGGGTGGATGAAGTCATGGCAGCCAATGACTGCAAGTACAGGATGGCCAAGTATGACTTCATCATCATCATGGATATGGATGAGTTCATTGTGCCTAAAGGAAACATGAATTCATATTTTGACATATTGCAGGTTTGTGAGAAACGATAGTTTATTATTTTTGTGATGAGGACGATGATTAGATTATTGAGAATTTGAAATAAAAAAAAAGTAATAGAATTAAATATACTTTGAACAAAACAGCAAACAAGAAAGAATATCGAGAAGTTTCGGTAAAAATTATCTTCAGAGATAGAAAAAAAAAAAAAACTAGCACTTAAGCAAAACGCGAACCCGCAATCAGTCTTAGATGTTAGGGTGTTCAGCCATTGTTGCTATGTTCATTAGATGTCAAAGGTTGAGACACTTCATATAGATGAAGTCTGACTGTCTATCTTAAACCGAACAACATTCTTACTGTGCTTGATACACACACACACACACACACACACATGCATGCATGCATAAATTTATACATGCATACATACATACGTACATACATACATACGTACATACATACATACGTACATACATAAATACATACATACATACATACATACATACATACATACATACATACATACATACATACATACATACATACATACATACATACATACATACATACATACATACATACATACATACATACATACATACATACATACATACATACATACATACATACATACACATACATACATACATACATACATACATACATACATACATACATACATACATACATACATACATACATACATACATACATACATACATACATACATACATACATACATACATACATACATACATACATACATACATACATACATACATACATACATACATACATACATACATACATACATACATACATACATACATACATACATACATACATACATACATACATACATACATACATACATACATACATACATACATACATACATACATACATACATACATACATACATACATACATACATACATACATACATACATACATACATACATACATACGTACGTACGTACAAGTCAATAATACAATGGCTACTGTACAGGTCACTGGGACTCCGAGCTGTGCAACAAAGTGGCAAAGTGTTGAAGTGTACTAGCCGTGGCAAAGTGTTGATGTGTACTAGCCGTGGCAATGTGTTGATGTGTACTAGCCGTGGCAATGTGTTGATGTGTACTAGCCGTGGCAATGTGTTGATGTGTACTAGCCGTTGCAAAGTGTTTATGTGTACTAGTAGTGGCAATGTGTTGAAGTGTACTAGCCGTGGCAAAGTGTTGATGTGTACTAGCCGTGGCAATGTGTTGAAATGTACTAGCCGTGGCAATGTGTTGAAATGTACTAGCCGTGGCAAAGTGTTGAAGTGTACTAGCCGTGGCTTACTTACTTACTTAGTCGCTCCTCTTCTACCTTGGGGTGTAGAGGTTTGCCAGAGAGATCGCCAAACGTCTCTATCCGCAGTTTTCTTTCTGGCTTTGTTCCATTACAGTCCTCTGTCAGTTAGGGACTGTCGGATGTTGTCTTCCCAGCGCACCCTGGGTCGTCCCGGAGGTCTGGTTCCCTGGTTCTTAGCCTCCCATGCTTGCCATGGTGGCCGATTTTCTCCCATTCTGCATACATGTCCAAACCATCGTAACTGTGACTGATCTACTCGGGTTAGTAAGGGCTGGGTATCAAGATCTTGACGTACTGTCTGATTGCGGACTTTGTCCCTTCTTGTCACTTGGACCACCTTTCTCAGGTATCTCATTTCCGAGGCCTGCAGCTGGCTTCTGTGAGCTGTTGTCATTGCCCATGACTCACACCCATAGGTCAGGACTTGTACATAGGTAGAGCGGTAAACAGCCATTTTCGTCCTCTTGCCAATTTCTCTTTTGCTAAGAAACCCTCGGTTTATGGCCTGGAAGAGTCTCCCAGCAGCTGCTTTTCGTGTAGCCAGCTCAGTCTTAATGCCTCCGTTTTGGTCAAGTACAACTCCAAGGTATTTGAACTGGTTAACCTGCTCCAATGCATACTGTCCCATCATGATCTGGTGTTTCTTCTCCTCTCTTGAGATCACCATGGTTTTAGTTTTGGAGATACTGATGGTCATCCCTCTCTTTTCGAGCTCTTCCTTCCAGACAAGTAAGTTGGACTGAAGGTGTGCCTCTGATTTAGCTATCATGGCCACATCGTCTGCAAAAGCCAGCTCTGATATACAGATTGGTCTCATCTTCCAGTACCCTACAGAGTACTTCTTTGTCTTCTCCTTACAGGTCTTGATGACATCATCCATCATAAGAATGAAGAGGTAAGGTGAGAGAATATCACCTTGTCTAACACCGCTGGCGGTCTTGAATTCTTCTGACTTTTGGTCTGCTGTTCTTACATAATTTCTGCACCTTTTGTAGAAACTCTGTATTGCACTGATCAGGGGTGCTGGGATGTTTTTTCCCTGCCAAGCAGTCCCAGAGCTTGTTCCAGGGTACCTTGTCAAATGCCTTTCCAGATCCAAAAAACATAAGTGCATCTCACTCTTATATTCCAGGGCTTTTTTCACTCATCTGTCTCAGTGTGAAGATAAGGTCTTGAGTACTTCGGTTTGCTCTGAAGCCGAATTGGGCCTCGTCCAGCTGTGGCTCTACCAGACTTCTAAGTCTCTGCTCAAGAATTCTAGAGTAACTTTTACCTGGAACGCTGAGGAGGGATATGCCTCTGTGGTTTTCACATTGTCTGTTATCCCCTTTTTTAAATATAGGTATAATGATGGCAATCTCCCAATCTTTTGGTATAGTTTTGTTACACCAGGCTGCCTGGAGAACCTTTAGTAGAATGCGCTCACCTTCGGCTCCCATATATTTGACCATCTCTGGTGTTATACCATCATGACCTGCTGCTTTTCCCAGCTTAATCTTCTCAATAGCTGCCTTCAATTCTTCCATCCTGATGTTATCTTCCTCATGATTGAATTCCTTCTCAGCAGTGAGGTCCATTATTTCTGGGTCATGACTTCCCTCAATGCCGAGGAGCTCTGAGAAGTATTCTTTCCATCTGCCCATGATATCATTTGTAGAAGTAAGCAGAGCCCCTTCCTTGTCTTTTATGAATTTAAGTGGGCACTCTTTCTCTTTCCTCATGTTCTTAAGGGTCTTGTAGAACCGTTTTTAGTTTTCTCTTGCATTCTTTTCCAACTTTTCTCCAAACTCTTCCCATGATTTCTGTTTTGCTTTAGGCACAATATTTTTGGTCTCTGTTCTGAGTGCCACATATTGTTTATATTTTTCTATTTCTTCAGCTGTGTTCCTGGCTGCCAGGTATTGCTTCCATGCCCTTTTCTTTTCTCCTATTTTCAATTTGACTTCTTCCGTCCACCAAGGTGTCCTATGTCCCCGTCTTCCACTCTGGACTTCACCACATGCTTCTACTGCAGCTGCTGTGAGGATATTCTTGAATCTGCATCAGAGGGTTTCAGTGTCCTCTGATAATTCTTCTTCAGTTCCTATTGCTTTCACTATTAGCTCCTGGTATCTAGCCTTAATATTTGGCTCTCTTAGCTTGTATGCTTTAATCCTCATCCCTTCTTGGTTGCTTGGTTTCTTGCATGGTTGTCGGTGTTGCCTTGTTGGAGCAGTTCTTTCAGATGTTCTCTTTATTGTGACCAGATAGTGGTCACTTCCAATCTCTGGTCCTCTCATGACTCTGGCATCTCTCACAAACTTGAATGAACTTTTCCTAACTATGGCGTAGTCAATGATGGATTTTTCATTTTTTGAAGGTTCACATCTTGTGTATGCATGTATACGCTTGTGGGCGAATTTTGTGTTTGTAATGACAAGGTTCTGTTCCCTGCAGAATCTGAGAAGTCGCTTGCTATTATCATTCAAAACACCTTCACCATATCTCCCGATCACTCCACCCCATCTAGAGTGATCATTTCCTACTCTGGCATTTAGATCTCCTAGGAGGATAATTTCATCGTGACAGTCATCTATGGTCCTTTGGAGCAGTTCAAAGAATTCTTCTTTAACATCTACTCGCTCATCTTCATTTGGCCCGTACACAATGACAAAATTGACAATTTTATCTTCTTCTTTCAGATCTAACACCATTATTCGCTCTGAGATGAATTTCCATCCCTTGATGTTACTAACTTGTTTCCTGGCCACAATACAGCCAACACCTCCCTTGGCTCTCTTCGTCATAGGGACACCACTGTAGAGCAGCATACTTCCATCGTGATCTGTGATTCCTTGTCCCTTTTTCTTGGTTTCAGTCAGAGACAAGACTCCTAATTTTGCTTTTCTCATCTCCCCTACTAAATCCTTTTCATTCCCGTAAATGCCTCTTATATTCCATGTTCCATAAATCGTAGTCCGTAAGCCATGCCAGTTCGTCGCCGTTAAGATCCGTCTGGTTTTCTCTCTGTAGTTACTTGTAATCGTGGTTTAAGGCAAACAGGTGATTGGCCTGTTGTGCCTTTGCATGGTGGAGGGGCTGCCTCCTTGCGGCCTCCATGCAGGCCGTTTGGCTGATTCACGGTTACCCACTACTTCCGGAGACGCATGAAGCACTCAGGTTCAGCCAGACCCTCCTCCTTTTACAGCCGGGCTTGGGACCGGTCTTAGCGGAGTTACTAGCCGTGGCAATGTGTTGAAATGTACTAGCCGTGGCAATGTGTTGATGTGTACTAGCCGTGGCAGTGTGTTGAAATGTACCAGCCGTGGCAAAGTGTTGATGTGTATAAGCCGTGGCAAAGTGTTGAAGTGTACTAGCCGTGGCAAAGTGTTGATGTGTACTAGCTGTGGCAAAGTGTTGCTGTGTACAAGACGTGGCAATGTGTTGATGTGTACTAGACGTGGCAAAGTGTTGAAGTGTACTAGCCGTGGCAAAGTTTTGAAGTGTACTAGTCGTTAACTAGGTATAATAAATTCAAGTAATTGTTGACTGGTTCTGAGAGACCCTTTGCAAGATTGTCCCCAGTAGTATTGACGTCTCAAGGGTGAGAATAGAGCCCGGAAACTCCGTTCAACCGTTATATTGGGTCACACACACACACACACACACACACAAACACACACACACACACACACACAGA